AAGTGATATTGATGATATATATATTGATAATAATTTATTAGTTTTCAATTCTAAAGATTTAACTAATAGTTATTTAGAAAAAAACTTAAAATTATTTTTAACAAAAAACTTAAGTTTATATATAAAAAGTAAATTAAAACTTTATCAAGAAAAATTAAACCTAAAAGACCATACTTTTTCTATTAGAAATAAAACTAGCAATTGAGGATCTAATAAGATTAATAAATACTTGATTTCTTTTGCTTTTAATTTAATATTTTATCCAACAGAAGCAATTGATTATGTTATAGTCCATGAATTAATCCATAGCATTGAACCAAATCATTTAAAAGGTTTTTATGATTTATTAAAAAAAACTTATCCAAATTACAAAAATGCTAAATTGATCCTAAAAAAATATTTTTTTGCTCTAAATTTTTAATAAAATTAAATAATTTTAAAATATGATTAAATTAGTTGTTGGTTTGGGTAATCCTGGCAGAGAATATAAAAATAATAGACATAACATTGGTTTTAGGATTATTGATCATTATTTTAAAGCAATAGAAGGTGCAACTTGAATTCATAATTTTGATTCTCATTTTTATAAAGCTAATAATTTTATTTTATTAAAACCTATGACTTATATGAATTTATCTGGTAGAGCTATTAAAAGTATTGTTAATTATTATAAAATAGAAATTGAAGACATTTTAATCGTTTATGATGATATTGCTTTTCCATTTTCGATTATGAAAGTTCAACAAAAAATAAGTCATAATGGACATAATGGAATAAAAAGTATTATCCAATATCTAAATAATAATGATTTTTTTAAGTTAAGAGTTGGTATATCTAAAAATAATATTCCACTAGAAACATATGTCTTATCTAATTTTAATGATTTAGAAGAAACTAAAATGCCAATCTTACTAGCAAAAAGCAAAAAAATAATTGATAGTTTTATAGAAAAAGGTGCTATTAAAACTATGGATTCATTTAATTAAGATGAAGATTCTTGCTATTTCGGGAGGGCCTGATTCTGTATTTTTATTAGAAAAATATAAAAACCAAAACTTAATCTTAGCTCATGTAAACTATAAAACAAGAAAAACTTCTATTGATGATGAGAAGTTAGTTGTTAGTTATGCCAAAAAAATATAATTTAAAATGCGAGATTTTAAAAGTAGAAGTAAAAAAAAACCCAAAAATAATTTTCAAGCTTGGGCAAGAGAAATTAGATATAACTTTTTTATCAAAATTAGTCAAAAATATAAAACTAATTTAGTTTTATTAGCTCATCATAAAAACGATTTTTTAGAGTCTGCTTTAATGCAAAAAGAGAAAGATTTATTTTTTTATGGTATTAAAAAAATAAGCCAATATAAAAATTTAATATTACTAAGACCTCTTGTTGATCAATATTGAAAAAAAGAAATCCTAGATTATTTAGAAAAAAATAATATCAAGTATAACAATGATTATACTAATGATTTACCACTTTATACTAGAAACAAAATTAGACTAGAACTTAACTCTTATTCTTTATCTGTAAAAGAAAAACTATATAAAGATATATTAGAAAAAAATAAAAGTCTTGAAGATGATTATTTTAAATTTAATAATGAATGAGCTAAATTTGAACAATCAAATTATAACTTAGATCTTTTTGAAAAATAGTTATTATCAAAAACAAATTATCTATAAAATTTTAAAAGACAATTTTGATTGTAAAATATCTCTTAATAAATTAAATGGGATACTACAATTTTGTTGTGGCAAAATTAGAACTGGAAAATACTTAATTAAAAACAATACTTATTTATTTAAAAAGCAAAATAAATTAAGCTTATAAAAATTATTGCTATTACTATTCAAAATGCTATCGAATAATAATAAATGTTTGTTTGATATAGTTTTGGGTTAACGTTTTTATTTTTTGTTATCATATTTTTTCTTATTTTTTTAAGATATTGTTGTCTTATTTCTATCACTACTATATTTATGCATAAAAGTATTGAAGCGATTAGTCTTGGTAAATCAATATATAGTTTATGGATTAAATCAAAGCCTGTTGCTGTTTCTAATGGACTGTAATTATTATATTTATAAATGTTTGCTCTAGCTCAAATACCAAAAAGTTCCAAAGTTCCTAATCCACCAGGGGTAGGAGAAAGAGCATTGCTTGTAAAACTAATATCCCTTCCAATTAATTGAACTACATATTTTTCTAATCAATTTCAGTTTTTTTTATCATTTATTAAATTATTATTTTGGATAACTATATATAGCGGGTCAAAAAATAAAGGTAAAACAGCATAAAAGGAAAGTTCTAGGAATAATAATGGGTTTTTTATCAAAAAAACAATACTTTTTTTAATTTGATTTAATTCATATTTAGCTATTTCAATTTGTTGATTAGAATCTTTTTGATAATCGTATCAAACATAGTTTTTGATTCAAAAGTAAAAATTTAAAATTTGAAATTGAATTGGTTGGATAAATACCATCATAAAAATTAAAATAGCAAACCCAAAAGATAAAGCAAATGATAAAAAGAAGATATTTTTTATTTGTTCATTAAAAAATGCATCATAGTATAAATGACTAAAAAAAGTTAAATATACTACCGAAGGTAGAATTAAAGAAATTTGAAATAGAATCAAACTAATAGTAGCCATACTAAGAAGTGCACTTCTTTTTACATTTTTCCTTTTTAAATATCAATATACTACTATGTCTCCGCCAATCATAAGGGGGGTGATTCATGACATAATAATACCCATCAATGAGGCTATATAACAATGATAAATAGAAACTTTTACTTCATTTATATGTAAAATTCGTTTTTTTATTAATCCATCAAAAAAAGGTAATATAAAAGCTCAAATAGCTATTATTAATCATTGATTTTTAGAAACATTATCTATAAATATATATTTAGCAAATCCCCAGTTTTCTCTAACATTACCACTAGCATAAATTTTAAGAAAAATTAAAACTATAAGACTAACAAATATTAAGGATAAAAATGAATATTTGACTATTGTTTTAGTTTTAGGTTTATTTAATATCTCTTGAGGTTTATTATCTTCTATAAAGTTAAAAATCTCATTTTCATATTGCAAAGTTTTTATTAATTGATTTTTTTGTTTGAGTTTAAAGAGTTGAATTAATATTTTTGTGCTATTAGAATCTGGGTAGCAAACTATTGAAAAACAATTATTTTCTGTCAAATTAACTTTGACAGCATTTAAGTTATTTTGTCTAAAATCATCTATGCTGTTGATGCTTAGTTCTCTATTTTTTTTATTTTTTATAATTTTATCCAATAAATCGTTTTGCAATTTATCTTTTAGTTCTAGTTCTATTTCTTTGTAATTATAGTTACCAATTTGTTTATATATTAAACTAAGTTTATAATCAATTGTATAAGTTTGAGTTTTATAGTAATTAAACATCTCAACAAACATCATCATCATTTGCATAGCATCGCTACTACTTGTTATATTATTGTTTAGTAAAAATCTATAATCAATATCAAAAACTAACGAATTTTTATTTTTGTTAGTGCTAATTACTTTTAAATAATTAGTATAACTATAAGATTTATAATTATGTAGGGTTGATAATTTATTAATACTTTCATTTAAATAGATGGGATAGTAAATATTTAACTCTTCTAATTTATTTTTTCAAAGATAATCAATATATAGAAGGACTATTTCTTGGCAATTTAGAATTTTAACTTCTTGTTTATTTTTAATCACAAAATTTATTTTTTCGCTTAATTTATCGATAAATATACCCAGATCTAATTTGTTTTTAAAAACAGATTTAATCATAGATTTGTAAGCAAACTTATCTTCTGGAGAATATTCTTTTATTTGGTTTAAATCAAAAAGATTAGGACTAAAATCAATTAGATAGTGCTCATAATTTAATTTTGATAATATGTTTGATACTGTTTTAGAGTGAGTGGGGTAATTATATACACCTATTTTTAATAATTGTTGGTCATTTTTTCTTACTCCCATAGCTATTATTTGGTCTTCATAATCACTAATAATGCTATTACTTATAAAATTTAGATTATGTTTATTTTGATTGTTATTTAATAGCTTGTTTATATCAATTTCATCTAATCTATTTTTAATTAATCGATATTCTTCTAGACTATTTTGTTGCCCTGAACTATTAAATATTTTTATTCCATTATATTTTTCAGAAGATAAATTACTTCCTAAATAAATTGCTCCATCTAATTTTTTGTTTTTAATTATAAAACTTACAAGATTAGTAGAAAGTGGTTGTAAATCTTGGATTATAAAAGGGCTATGATATTCATTTTTTAATAAGTCAAATATTTTTTTCGCATATTCTAAATTAATATTTCTATCATCAAAAGCTATTAAAATTTTTAATTCTTTAAAACTATCATTGTTAATTGAATTAAGTCATGCTTTTGTTACTACTTGAATAGTTATTTCATTAATTCTTTTTTTGCCAAAACCTTGTTTTGCAATAACTCCATCATTATTAAAATGAAAAAAACTTGATAATCTTTTTATTAATTTTTCTTGGTTTTTTTTAAGATCATTTTGATAAAAAGAATCATCATTTACTTTATAATTAGTTCACTCAATTAATTCTTGATTGGTTTTTTTATCCATATAATTTAGAAGTTTATTTTATTAATTATTAATTAAATTTAAGAAAATTAAAAAATTATTAGAAATATTTTATATTTATAGTTTAAAATAAATTTAGCGTGGTCATATAGCTCAGTTGGATAGAGCACAAGCCTTCTAAGCTTGGGGTCGTAGGTTCGAATCCTACTATGATCGCCATTTTTATTTTAAAAACCATATATTTGGTTTTTAAATCAAAAATTTATGATAGTATTAATTTTTGAATTAATTTAATATATAATAATTGCTATTGTTGAATGATTTAACAATAATTTATAATATAGACTTATAAAAGCATTGAATTTAAAAATTTTAAAAAAAGGAAAAAGTATGGCAAAAAAAGCATTTGAAAGAAATAAAGAACACGTTAATATAGGGACTATAGGACATGTTGATCATGGTAAAACTACTTTAACAGCTGCTATAGCTACATATTTAAATAAAAAAGGATTAGCTGAAGCTAAAGATTATGATTCAATAGACAACGCTCCTGAAGAAAAAAAGAACGTGGAATTACAATAAACACTTCACATATAGAATACGAAACCGAAAATCGTCATTATGCTCACATTGATTGCCCGGGGCACGCTGACTATATTAAGAATATGATTACTGGAGCCGCTCAAATGGATGGTGCTATTCTAGTGGTAGCCGCTACAGATGGGCCAATGCCGCAAACAAAAGAACACATTTTGTTAGCACGTCAAGTAGGTGTTGCTAACATTGTTGTTTATATAAATAAAGTTGATATGCTTGAAGGTGAAGAAGAAATGATTGACTTTGTTGAAGAAGAAATTAGAGGATTGTTGGATAAATATAATTACGATGGAAATGCTACTAAGTTTATTCGCGGGTCTGCTTTAAAAGCATTGCAAGGTGATCCTAAACACGAACAATCAATCGCTGATTTAATGGCTGCAGTTGATAGTGAAATCCCTACCCCTGTACATAATTTTGATCTTCCATTCTTAATGGCTGTTGAAGATGTTTTCTCTATACCAGGACGTGGGACAGTTGCAACTGGTAGAGTTGAAAGAGGAAAAAATCAAAATAAATGATAAAGTTGAAATTGTTGGTTTGAGAGAAAAAGCTGAATCAGTGGTTATTGGTATAGAAATGTTCCAAAAAACTTTGAACGAAGGGCAAGCTGGAGACAATTTAGGTATATTACTTCGTGGGATCGATAAAAATGCTATCGAAAGAGGTCAAGTAATTGCTGCTCCTCCTAATTCAATTCAAGTTAAATCTAAATTTAAGTCACAAGTATATGTTTTAAATAAAGAAGAAGGTGGACGTCATACTCCATTTTTCAAAAATTACAAACCTCAATTTTATTTTAGAACTACTGATGTAACTGGTTCAATTGAATTACCTAGTGGTGTTGAAATGGTTATGCCAGGTGATAATGTTGAATTAGTGGTTGAATTAATTTCACCAATTGCCATCGAAAAAGAAACAAAGTTTTCAATTCGTGAAGGTGGTAAAACTGTAGGTCACGGAACTGTTACTGATATTTTAGATTAGCATAATAGAAAAAGCTTAATTTTTAAAAGCCAAGATAACTTAGTTTATTTTGGTTTTTTTTATTTTTAAAAGATTATTGTGTCTATTTATAGATAATTAAAAAAGATCCATAAGCTAACATCAAAAACAAACCAAAAAAAGTTATATATCATAAATAAACTTTAGTAGCTAGAGTTTATAGTTTCTAAAAATTAATAATTGGTTAAACCTATAAATAATTAAATGATGATAATTACAATTAACATTTTTCCTAAAAAAAGCATTAATTTATATAAAGAAATACTTTAACTATAAATTCATAACATCTCTAATATAAATAAGTAGTAAATTAAAAGATGAACTGTTGAAAATGAAATTTATTATTTTTTTTTAAAGTATTTTTTATACAAATTACTTTTATAGAAAATAAGATTTACATAGCAAAAATCGCTATTTTTCTAAGAAAAATCAAAAAAAATAAATATTTTTATAAAAAAAAAACAAAATTTTTTAAAATTTTTATTTTTTATCTATATAATAACTATTCAAACTTTAAAAAAATAAAAGATAAATAATTGCTCAAAAAAAATAATTATTTTTTGAGTGGTTTTTTTTACAAACAATTATGTTTTTAAAGTTATGTTTTTTAAAAAAAAGAAGTTATTTGAAAACTAAACAAAACAGACCATGAATAAGTCAATTTAATTGAGAGTTTGATCCTGGCTCAGGATGAACGCTGGCTGTGTGCCTAATACATGCATGTCGAACGAAGTACTTGTACTTAGTGGCAAATGGGTGAGTAACACGTACCTAACTTGCCTTTTAGATTGGGACAACCACGGGAAACTGTGGCTAATACCAAATATGTATAATTAACATATGTTTTTTATATGAAAGGAAGCGATTGCTTTGCTAAAAGATAGGGGTGCGCTACATTAGCTTGTTGGTAGGGTAAAAGCCTACCAAGGCTATGATGTATAGTGGGATCGAGAGGTTGAACCACCACACTGGGATTGAGATACGGCCCAGACTCCTACGGGAGGCAGCAGTAGGGAATATTCCACAATGAGCGAAAGCTTGATGGAGCGACACAGCGTGTAGGATGAATGCCTTAGGGTTGTAAACTACTGTTATAAGAGAAGAATAGCTAAAAAAGGAAATGTTTTTAGTCTGACGGTATCTTATCAGAAAGCAGTTGCAAACTATGTGCCAGCAGCAGCAGCGGTAATACATAGACTGCAAGCGTTATCCGGAATTATTGGGCGTAAAGCATTCGTAGGTTGTTTATTAAGTTTGGTGTTAAAAACAAAAGCTCAACTTTTGTTTGCATTAAATACTAATAGACTAGAGTTATAAAGAGGTTAATGGAACTCCATATGAAGCGGTGGAATGCGTAGATATGTGGAAGAACACCAATGGCGAAGGCAATTAACTGGATATACACTGACACTGAGGGATGAAAGCGTGGGGAGCAAACAGGATTAGATACCCTGGTAGTCCACGCTGTAAACGATGTTTGTTAATCGGTGGTGAAATCACTGATACAGCTAACGCAATAAACAAACCGCCTGAGTAGTATGCTCGCAAGAGTGAAACTTAAAGGAATTGACGGGGAGCCGCACAAGCGGTGGAGCATGTGGTTTAATTCGAAGATACGCGAAGCACCTTACCAACATTTGACATCTTTTGCAAAGGCATAGAGATATGCTGGAGGATAACAAAAAGACAGGTGGTGCATGGCCGTCGTCAGCTCGTGCCGTGAGGTGTTGGGTTAAGTCCTATAACGAGCGCAACCCTTTTCTTTAGTTACTAACATTTAGTTGAGCACTCTAAAGATACTGCCTAGGTAACTAGGAGGAAGGAGGGGATGAGGTAGGTCATCATGCCTCTTACATGTTGGGTTACACACGTGCTACAATGGCAAATACAAAGAGAAGCAAAATCGTGAGGTGGAGCAAATCTGTAAAATTTGTCTCAGTTCGGATTGGAGTCTGCAACTCGACTCCATGAAGTAGGAATCGCTAGTAATCCTAGATCAGCAAGCTGCGGTGAATACGTTCTCGGGTCTTGTACACACACCGCCCGTCAAACCATGGGAGTTGGTAATACCCAAAGCTAGTTAGTTAACCATTTATTTGGAGGCAACTATCTAAGGTAGGATCAATGACTGGGGTTAAGTCGTAACAAGGTATCCCTACGAGAACGTGGGGATGGATCACCTCCTTTCTTTTTCTACGGAGAGTACATTTTTAACAAGACATTTATCAACATTTATTCATGAAGTTAGTCTTGGCTTAGTTTTGTTTAGTTTTCAGGCAACTTCCTGGGTAAAAAAGTTACCAAGTTTTTTGACAACTGAATAGCAATATTAGATCTTAGACAACACAAAAAAATATAATTTTTTTCGTCTAAATATAATTTTAAACATCTCGTTTATTAGTTTTAAATTAATAAACATCAATAGATATACTCAAAAAAGTTTTAAATAAATAACTAAGAGCATATAGTGGATGCCTTGGGTTTGGTAGCGATGAAGGACGTGATTACCTGCGATAAGTCTTGTAGAGCTGGAAATAAGCTATGACACAGGAATTTCCGAATTGGGAAACCAAATGCAATTTTTTTTGCATTATTAACTATTTTTATAATAGTTAAAGCAATACCTTTGTGAACTGAAACATCTTAGTAACAAGAGGAAAAGAAAATGAAAATGATTTCATCAGTAGCGGCGAGCGAAAGTGAAAGAGCCTAAACCAACAAATTGTTGGGGTTGTAGGATGATCAACATAAAAGTTACAAAATTGAAAAATAGTTAAATAAGTTGGAAAGCTTAACCATAGAGGGTGATAGTCCCGTCAATGAAATTTTTCAATCTTTTGATCATATCCTGAGTAGAGCGGGGCACGTGAAACCTTGCTTGAATCTGCCGAGACCACTCGGTAAGGCTAAATACTAACCAAACACCGATAGTGAACAAGTACCGTGAGGGAAAGGTGAAAAGAACCCCGGGAGGGGAGTGAAATAGATCCTGAAACTATAATGCTTACAAATAGTCAGAGCACGTTAATGTGTGATGGCGTACATCTTGCAGGATGGACCGGCGAGTTATGTTAATATGCAAGGTTAAGTGGTAAAAAAACGGAGCCGTAGCGAAAGCGAGTCTTAATAGGGCGCTTAAGTATGTTGACATAGACCCGAAACGAAGTGATCTAATCATGAGCAAGTTGAAGTATAGGTAATACTATATGGAGGACTGAACCGTAGTACGCTGAAAAGTGCCCGGATGACTTGTGATTAGCGGAGAAATTCCAATCGAACTTCGAGATAGCTGGTTCTCCCCGAAATAGCTTGAGGGCTAGCGTGTAATGTTAAATTGTAAAGGTAGAGCACTAAATATGGAATGGCCCCACCTAGGGGTACTGCCTATAATTAAACTCTCCGAATGTTACAATGTATTATTATGCAGTCGGACTATGGAAGATAAGTCCCGTAGTCGCGAGGGAAACAACCCAGATCGTCAGTTAAGGTCCCAAAATTATGCTAAGTGAAAAAGGATGTAAGATTTCTCAAACAGCTAGGATGTTGGCTTAGAAGCAGCCACCATTTAAAGAGTGCGTAATAGCTCACTAGTCAAGAAATCTTGTGCCTAAAATGTAACGGGACTAAAGCATAATACCGAAACTACGGATCAGAAATGATGTTAGGGGAGCGTTCTAAATGCATTGAAGCTAAACTGTAAAGATTAGTGGAGCGTTTAGAAGTGAGAATGCCGGTATGAGTAACGTTTCAAGGTGAGAATCCTTGACACCTATTGGGAAAGGTTTCCCGGGCAAGGTTCGTCCTCCCGGGGTTAGTCGGGTCCTAAGGCGAGGCCGAAAGGCGTAGTCGATGGATAACAGGTTTATATTCCTGTACTATTAACTAGAGTGATGGAGTGACAAAGTAGGATAATTTTACCTCTTATTGGATTGAGGGGCAAATGACAAGTGGGCTAAATAGGCAAATCCGTTTAGCTTAACCACAAGTTATGATGCATAGGGAAAGCTTTTGCAAGTACTTAATTAAATGATTTCAAACTTTCAAGAAAAGCTTCTAGCATTCAATCTAGATAATACCCGTACCGATAACGAACACACGTTCCCAAGATGAGTATTCTAAGGTGAGCGAGATAACCATTCTTAAGGAACTCTGCAAAATGACCCTGTAAGTTAGCGATAAAGGGTACTCATTTATATGAGTCACAGGAATCGGGGGTGGCGACTGTTTACCAAAAACACAGCTCTCTGCTAAGGTGTAAACCGATGTATAGGGGGTGACGCCTGCCCAGTGCCCGAAGGTTAAATGGATTTGTTAGTCATATTTTATGGCGAAGCATTGAAATGAAGCCCGGGTGAACGGCGGCTGTAACTATAACGGTCCTAAGGTAGCGAAATTCCTTGTCAATTAATTGTTGACCTGCACGAAAGGCGTAACGATCTCCCCACTGTCTCAAGAATGGACTCGGTGAAATTATGGTGAACGTGAGAACGCGTTCTACCCGCAGCTAGACGAAAAGACCCCGTGAAGCTTTACTACAACTTTGTATTGGATTTTGGATAAATATGTGTAGGATAGGTGGGAGATGTTGATCCAATAACGCCAGTTATTGGGGAGTCACCCTTGAAATACCACCCTTGTTTATTTGAAATTCTAATTGATTATTTTACCAATAACAAGACAGTGCATGGTGGGTAGTTTGACTGGGGCGGTCGCCTCCTAAAAAGTAACGGAGGCGTTCAAAGGTACCCTCAATACGGTCAGAAACCGTATGTAGAGCGTAAAGGTAAAAGGGTGCTTGACTGTGAGAGGTACATCTCGAGCAGGTGCGTAAGCAGGACTTAGTGATCCGGCGATCCCTTGTGGAAGGGTCGTCGCTCAACGGATAAAAGTTACTCCGGGGATAACAGGCTAATCTCTCCCAAGAGACCATATCGACGGGGAGGTTTGGCACCTCGATGTCGGCTCGTCGCATCCTGGAGCTG